ACTTTGATCACTACGAATTGAAGTACATCTAGCTTGCATTCTCCTTATGAACGTAAATATTATAATAAAAATAAATAATGCAGCCCCTTGAACCATATTAACAACACATTGTTCATCCATACAATCCCCATCAACATCCATCTATGATACAAATATCAAATTAAAATAATTTATATGGCTAGCAAGCACGACAAATAGATATAAACAGTAAAGTCTTAATAATCAAATCTCATAGCAAGCATCCATGTGTTATTAATATGTAGTAACTAGTCATCACAACCAATCATGATTTATGGCTTTCATGGAATAATATCATACATATATAATCAAATTGGAAATAAAGAATTTGTCAATTTACCAATAATCAACACCAAACAGTTCAAATATCTTTCACAAACTCATAATTAAAGGAAAACAATAGAAAACAACACCAAACAAAAATGTAATCCTATTATTTTCATTTCACTACCTCAAATCATACAAAATTAAAACTAAACAAAAATACTAGTTACATGGTGATGCATCGGGGATTTAATCACATTTTTAATCATGTATAGAAACAGTCAGAGAACTGATTATGTGAGGATTTAGACTTGATCATCCATTTGTCTCAAGTTTTACAAATTGGTGAGGTTTTGAGGCAATCAAAGTAATAAAGCCAAAAAAATTAAAAAATTGGCCAAATCATACCAAAAGTTGCTAACTTTCACCAAATCAAGTTATACCAGTTTTACAAGTTGGTGTGATCTCAAAAGTTGATGATAATTATCTGTTCAAGTGAGTAATAATCCCAAAAAACTAAAAATGGTGAAATGATACCTGTAATTGCCGAATTTCACCAAATCAAGCGGCAATCTGAAGAAATCCCCTAAGAAAGGCATTGCCTTTTTATGAGATCTAGCAAAAATCTGAATAAATCAACTGAGATCTAAGGAAACTGAGTGATTTCTCCAAAATTAGAAGAAATCAGTAAAAATCAGACAACATCAAGACACTGATTTCGAGATCCGACGCGCGAAGAGAGAAGAAACGGCGGGACTTAGCGGTAACCCTAGCCAACTGAGAGATTTCCCCAAAATATTGTAGATCTGACAAAAGGACACAAGAGGAGGGTTTCGTGGGTTTTCCGCTCGATTTTGGAGGAAATCATGACAAGCGATTTGGCTGAGGTGGAGCAGTTTAGCTCCCTCTGCGAACCAAACCCGCACAAAAAAACGAAGGAAAATAAAATGTCCAAGGTTGACACTGTGTGAGGAGAGAAAAATGGGTTTTGGGCCTCATTTTTAACGAACCAAACAGTCCCTAAATGACATCAGTTTAAAAAAAAAAGCTTTGAACCCTTTCTTATTATTATACTAGGTTTTATACACGTGCAGTGCACATGGTTAGATATCATGATTAACTATTTTTTGATTTTTTTCCTAACTAAAGTTTGTTCATCGGTTCCACTTTAATAGTTTGTGCTTACTTTTGTCTCTAAAATTTATCATTGCGATTATTTATTTTCTTTGATGTTTGTTTAAATAGGCTATATCTAACTTAAATTTTCATTTTGATATTTGATTGATAGAATACAAATATAATCTGAAGCTAATTTAAATTTTTATATTATTTGGACTAACATAAAACCAAACTTTACTTGAGAAAGTATAGTGTTGCGAAAATGAAAAATATTGAAACAGTGTTATACAAGAAAAGTGAATATTTAAAACTAATAAGGCACGGTGATTGATTAAAAGTATGCTAAAACGATACAAAATAGAATATAAAATTTATTCCTAATCATTAATAGACTTCATAAAAATTATAAACTAAACATTAATGCTAGCTCTAGAGTATACTTTTAAATAATAAAAGCATCCACATAAGCATATAAAAGTACTAAAAAAGTTCATGAACCCCCTTTCTAAAGATTCCTAGTTTCATTCAAAACAATTAAACTATTCTATAAAATATTTAGAAATATTATCTTTTATTCCTTTTATTTTATTTTTTTATTGAGCTAAGATCATTCCTTCTTCCCCTTTATCTTTTTTCTTGGCAATTCTAGAATAGTGTCTTCATCATCTACATCGATTGTGACATCAGGCTGGAGTTGTATTTTTTGCACTGTTATCTTTCCTAGGCTTGTTATTCTTTGATCTTCTCGTTTAACTTCACAAAGAAGTAAAGTGTATTTCTGATGTTCAACACAAACTTTTTGATATACAAACTTTGATTTTTTCCCTATTTTAATGAGAATAAATTTTAATTTCATATATATAAAATTATTGGTGTTCCAAATTTATTGCTTAAATAAGATCATGAGCTACCTTTTTTCATCTACAATGAATTCTTCTGATATGCATCCAATAAGAGTTTCTATTATGTCAATAACATTACTTTTACTCTATCCCTATCGTTTTTTACAAAGATCTGAACTAAATACATGTATTTTTTTCATTAATAATTTGCCTTAGATTATAATATTAATATTTAATTTTTTTAGTATTTGAAGGACAAAGTATAAATTTTATGAATACTTACTAATTTTTCTTATATCTTTCATGAAGAATTCTTCTTTGATTGAGATAAAGTTGTTAATTATTCTTAGATGGAACTCAGTCAGTGCTTTCTTTATTCATTTTATCGCTTTATCATTTGCAATGGAAATAACTTGATTCTTTTGAATGATATCTTTGAATATTCTGATAGTTTCTCCATATGTAATTCATTGTATTATTTTACCTTATAAGTATTACTAACATCAGAGATTAATGTTTCTAAATTATAATCAATCGATGCTAAGCTATTATATTATAGTCTTTTATTATTTTTATGGATATAAACATCTATCAATTAAATGTTACTAATATATTTTTGCTGCTCTAACTTATTAGTAAAATTATATGCAATTACTCTGACTTATATGGTGACAATAATTTTAAAGCTATCATATATTTTTTTAAATTTTATTTCTTGACCGAATATTTTTAATCATTTCTTACTTTTGTTTACCAGCATTAATTTAGACTATTTTTAGATGCTAAAAAGGGATAATGAACTCTTATGGTTTTGAACTTTAAGGGTGTGATTTATAATTTTTAAAACTTTGGGAGTATTTTTAAAAAAATTACTTTTAAGTTTGGCAGTTGTAACTTCTATGTTTCATGTGTCGATAGTAATTTTTTAATGTCAGAATATTTCCTACAACTCTAAAAATTTAAGCATTCTTTTTTTATTATTAAAATTGTAGATAAATTTTTCAAAAAACTCAAATATCAGTGGTCTGTAATAATTTTTAGATTTAATGTGTACTTGTTAGAATCTTTAAAATTTTAGAGTTTTTTGCAATTTTAAAATTTTGAAGAAGTATTTTGTAATTTTTGTAACTTTAAGGTTAATTTTGGTAAATTTTTAATTTTTAGGTGCATGAAAGTAATCTCTCGAATTCATCTTTTGTTGTTTATAAATTTTAAAATTTTAGAATTTAATGGTGGTTTTTTATAATTAAAACTTTTGAGGGTGTTTCTATAATATTTGAGACATTGAATGTGTTAATTGGAAATTTTAAAGTCTTTAGAGGTTGCTGTTAATTTCTTAATTTTGTGTTTGTTGTTCTAAGTTTAAAATGTTAAAAAATTTCAGGTGCATCATGGTAATCCCTTGAATTCACTTATGTTGTTTGAAAATTTTAAAATTTTAAAATTTCAGGGTGCTTATTTGTAATTTAAATTTTTGAGGGTGTTTCTATGATTTTTTGAGATATTCAAGTGTTAACTGCAAATTTTTGATTATTCATAGACTGCTATTAACTTCTTGATTAATGTTTGTTGTTTTAAGTTTTAAAATGTTAAGATGTCTTTTATAATTTTAAACTTTTTAGAGTATTTTGTGCAATTTTAAAACTTTTTAGGTTTTTTTACAATACTTCATTATTATAGTATATTAGCTACATATAATTTCTTTATCTTAACAAACTAATACCATAAAGCTGTTTTATATATTTTATTAATATTTTTTTAAATTGTTGAGTAATAGAGAGTTCACGTAAGATTAGAATATGATATAATTATAATTAGGATAGATTAAGATATGAATGAAATATTCAAAATAGTGAAGAGTAATATTGACCAAGAAAAGATTTTCCCGAACTCGTACTTTTAAAAGGAGTATGATGTGATATGATATAAAAAACAAACGATAAGATGAAGAGTTCTTTTTTTTTTCTTTTTTGACTCATTAGGTACCAAATTCAAATATCTAGATTGTCAAAATTTTAAATCTTTATCTATGATTGGATTATTGAAGCTTATTTCTATTAATTAAAATTAATTAGGATAGGATACAATAATACGGTAATATCTTAAAGAGTCAAGGGTATTTTTGTCCATAGAAAGTTTTTCCCAAACTCCCTCTTTTATAGGGAAGTATGATTGTTTGTCTTGCCCAAATGAAAAAAATGCTTCTACATGGTTTTCAAGCGAAACAAATCATTCTCCCTTTAAAAGAGGGAGTATGAGAAAAACTTTTCCTATCCCAAAATACCCTTCATCTATCATAAATTTAACAAAATTATCCTTTTTTTTAGTATTTTTCTTACGTTACTCCAAAACAGAAATCAAAAGCCCTAAAACAATCTGTTACCGTATCTATCGCCTCTGTTCATTCATCTCCTTCAAAAATCTTCAACACCCTCTCCAGCAAAAAAAAACCTAACGGCGGAAAAAGAAAAAAAGCAGAAGAAATCGGAGAAAAATGAAAACTTCAAGAGAAGTTGTAGATCGACGACAGCCGAACCCGGGAGTCCCTTGTGGCCTCTCATCTTTCTCTCTCCTCCAGGGTTTCCTCTGATCTCCCACCAAATCCCAAAAAACTCAAATCCCAAATTAAATCGCCCCTAAAATCTGGTAGTCTCCCGTCTCCTCAAAACCTCACTCCCCCAAATTCATCAAAAAACCCTAGAAAACAAAAGAAAACCCAACGAAATCAAATAAAAAATGAAGCATAAATCTCCAAAGCTCCAACACGCAATGGTCTGCACCTCGAACCAGAATCGAAGCATGGAAGCCCACTCCCTCCTCCAGCGCCATGGCTTCGACGTCTCCTCCTACAGCACTGGGGCACACGTTAAGCTCCCCGGTCCATCGTACCGAGAGCCCAATGTCTATGAATTCGGAACTCCTTATCACAAGATGTACGATGACCTCCTCCGCAAGAACCCTGAATTGTGAGTGGAAAGCCGATTTTGCCCCCTATATTTTTTTGTATTTATTGTTTTACCATTGTAAAGTTGGGACTTTTGTGGAGTTTTTAGGTACAAGCGTAATGGGATCTTGCCGATGTTGAAGAGGAATATGAGTGTGAAGCTAGCTCCTCAGCGCTGGCAGGATAATGCTGCTGATGGCCCATTTGATGTTGTTCTCAGTTTCGAAGATAAGGTTTCTGATGCGATCGTCGATGGTTACTGTGTTTTTGTTTTTTGTATTTTTTTTAGGTTTATTTTAAAGCTGATACTTTGCGATTGGGTTTTGAATTTGATTGATTTATATGAGTTTCAATTTGGAGTTTTTATTTGAATTAGTGTGCAATTCCGAGCTTTGATAGTTTTTAGAACTTGCTCTTGTGAGATAATGACAATTACAATTTTAGATTTTGTAATCATACCTAAGGGTATTAGCTGAAATTGGATTGAAAAAAATGCCTAGAGATGTAATCGTCTACGATTGGGTTTTACTTAATAATAAGGGTTGGAGATCGAACTCCAGCTTCGGTATGGAGACATTGCGAAGGTTTCCTTCGTATTAAAATAAAAAAACAAAACGAAAACTTCGTATTAAAACTTCAAGAGAAAATGAAAACTTTGTTGCAGTTGCATTTAGACTGAATGACTTAAGGCGCACTGGCTATATTGAACGTGTCGAGGTAGAATCTTAACTGGCTTCTTTTCTTTTACAGACTTTCATGGAGGCAGATAAGAAGGGTGATGGAAAGATAGATCTGGACGAATGAAAGGAATTTGTAGATAAAAATCCATCATTGTTGAATAACATGACTCTTCCATACTTAAAGTGAGTCTTCTATCCTTCTATATTAAATCCTCAAGTTGCATAAGTTTAAGGTGCCTTATTTTTGCCCATTATTTTCTACAAATAATATTTCATAAAGTTAATATAATTTAGTGCTTATTTATTTCTCTTTGGTAATGTGCACGTACAATGACACACTTTTCTAAATCTAGAACAATGTTTTGTTACATGTGGTTGCTTAATTATTACTCATCCTTTCTCAATAAATGAAAACAGAGTCCTCAGTTAATAATGCTTCAATAAGCTACACTGTTCCATGTTCTCAAAAGCAAAATCAATCCCCTTGAACTTTGTGTGAATATTCAATCTTACATAATGTACATAATGCATTTTGTAATGCTGTTAATAGTTGAAGCAACTCCCTTTAACTTTTTGCCTTCTTCATCGTATTCACTCTAAACCTTGTTAGGCCTTGGAAAATCACATGCTTATGCTTGATCAAACAAGCGCACTATGTTCCAAATATGTTCAAATATCACGGATATTAATCTCTGAATAATTCATGTTTGGATATGATTTGTTAAGGACACGTGTTTCGTTCTTCGAGAATGAAACAGGGCGTCAATCATTTGATTTGCCTGATATATATTTCATGTTTGAGTATGATTTGTTGAGGAGGATATCATGCATTATGACCAGGCATAATTTTATTAGGGGAAAACTTCACAAAACCACTATGAACTTTGGGGTTTTTGCACAAAACTATCTTAAAATTTTTTTTAACGGAGAAACCAAAGTTAAAACTGCAGAAAACCAAAGTTAAAGCATTGAAATTATAATTAGGTAACTCAATTCTTAAGTTATTTGAAATTAGTCATTCAAATTAATGGTATAATTTGCAAATTGAGGGACTAATTTTCCTCTAATTGCTTTTTTTAACTCTTGATTGGAGAAGCTGAAATGAAAATAACTTAAGAATTGCGGTTATAATAGCTATTTCAATGATTTGATGAATTAATTTTAAAATAATAAGAATTGAGCAACCTAATAGTTTAATGTGGTTATCTTTGCAAACTTATGGAGGGGTTTTCTTAAATGATGATAGATTTTTTTATTTTACAATCATTAGGGATTAAAACAGATGATTGTTTTCCCTTTCCTTTTTTGATTTGTAAGAATTTTATGTCATCTGTTATTATTAAATTTGAGGCATTGAAGAAATTGATTGCTATATAAGCGAATAATCTTTTTGAATAATGTGTAGTTTACATTGCTCATGGTTTATAAGCGAATAAAATTTCCCAATAATTTGTAGGTTACATTGCTTATGGTCACAACGACACATAAAATGAAAGCTGAAGGTACATAAATGTAAATATTAAGAAAGTTCACAAATAATATAACATCATCAAGTTGAGATTTAAAAGAAACACTTTTACAACCAAGTTATACTAAAGAAATAAACCGAACAAATAAACCAAAATCGGAGAAAAATGAAAACTTCAAGAGAAGTTGTAGATCGACGATAGGCGAACCCGTTGACCTATAACTCGAAGTGATCGGTAGATGGAACTCCTTTGCGACTTTTCCATGGATTCTAGAGTTTTCGGCGATGGAGGCTTGCTATCTTTGAAAAGTTTTGTTCTGCGAAGATTGTAAATATTCTGTTGATGTGATTTTTTTGTTATCCAGCTTATTTTTTTTCTTTTTAATCAATTTTTTGGTTATTTTTCTTGAAAGCGAGAAGAATTAGAAGATATCCATAGGAAAGAGACGGTTATCTGAGGTTGATATTATCTCTGATATTTATCTTATCTATCTTCATATTTTCCTTTTCCTTTTTTTTATTTTTTTCTTTTTGTAAGAGAGAAGAATTTATTTACGGAGATCCATGCGCAAGAGATATTACAGCTGATCTTTCAGGTATTTATCTTCTTAGAATTATGGAAATTATTCTAACAAATTTTACTTGAAACAAACAACCCCTTAAGAACTTTTTCTTTAGCTCCTTTTGGATATTTAGTTGATGATATTAGATTGTTTGCTCATGATTTTGGTTATTGTAGATTCGGTTAATGATATTAATTCTCAACCGCAAGGTAGTTATATAAATTTAGGTGGGTTTAAAATGTGTGTTTTGTGTGAGAATTCCAATGGTTGAATTAATATATACTGGAAGGAAGAAAGTAATTAAGATATAGGTTTAAAATCAAACTTTTGCGTTTAAGAAAACATATATCCCAAGCTATCATAAATATATAACAATATATTTAGAAGATGAAACGGATAAAAAACGATAACTAATGAAACATGAGATGTTATTAAAAGTAAAGCGTACAAAGACTAAATTGAAAGATGTTAAGAGCTTCTTTTCAATTAATTATTTATTTGGTTGGTATAATATATATACTTATTTATTTACTTTATTTTCCCCCCAGCTATTTTTAATTTATTTGCTTCATCATACTTTGTTTAGGATTTTTCATGTGCATTTAGAAATTTTGCCCTGATTCTCGATTTCCTGCAACTTCAAGCGATGAGGGTTTCAATAATCATAGGGCAGCTGGAGCGAGATTAGAAAGTAAGTTTAATCTCAATCTTTCCATTTCAAAGTTAGATCAGTTATTTTAAATTACTATGGCACTTTTCTACTCTTATTGAATGATTATAACACAAAGCATAAAGTTCTACATACTGGCTCATCGACCAGAATGTGAAAAGGTCAGTATAGTCTGTCCATCTGTCTAGATACTTGAGTCTTTAGAGAATGAAGATATCTCCAGGTTGACATACTTTGAGTTTGGTTCAATAATACCATTTTGTATAGAAGTAATCAGTCTAGAAGTTGTAGCTTGACCAATATAAGGCCTATTTAGTGGGTTTGTGCTCTCATGTTGATGTGGTGACACTTAAGATTAGGATATATCATGCTCAATGTTAGATAATATAAATATTACTTGCCTATATCATCAATAGCAACAATGTCTTGGTTATTTATTTTAGATTTAGATTTGCCAAGTTGTAGAGGAAAGTTTTCTGTTGGTGTTGGAGTTGACAAGGATGGTGAAGAATCATGAGAGTATAAATACTAGGTGCACCAGATGCAGATAATTGGTGTTTGATATGACTTTCTATGCGTTCAGTGAATGTAGGCCCAACAACATCGCCATATGAGTCTACAATTCAAATGACCTTTGCTATCCATGTATTGATCTGGTATCATGAAAAATAAATGAAGCAAAATGGCTTTCACACACCTTATAGAGGGGGGGGAGTTGAATTTAGGCCAAATTTCAGAACCACCCACCCACACAAACTTTCGATGATTATGAGCTGATCCAGAATAAATATCAAAATATCAGGAAACCCCCCTTAAGTTTAGGAGTTATGACCCCCTAACTGTAAGATTTTATTACAAAAAAACCACTAACAATATTAATTACAATTTGCACATGGGTGAGTAAATTCAATTTTTGAAAAAGCTTTTCTGAAAATTACTTCAACACTTTTAAGCCAATAATTTGTGATATGCCATATCCCCTCTCCCTGGTTCACCATTGGTTATGTCCGGCTCATGGTTAGGCATAAAGAGCTTATGTCTGCTTCTTCCCTGTTTCTTTGCCTCATTTCTACTTGTGTTGATTTTCTAATTGTGTTGCTTTTCCACTAAACTCCCCTTTGACTATCCTTTAGTACATATTTTTTAATAGACCTCCGAACATGTCATATAGATAGCAGGTCATAAATATGCTTTTATAATTGGCTAGCATTAGTTACATTACCATAATGGCAAGTGCTCATAAATGTTTGTAAGGCTCATTTTGGTCTCTTCTTCATTGTAGCTTTCCACTTGGCCTGTGTTTTTCCCGTATCTAGACTTGAGCAAGTTAAGGAATTGCTAGGTCCTTGTAGCTTTCCACTTGGCCTGTGTTTTTCCCGTATCTAGACTTGAGCAAGTTAAGGAATTGCTAGGTCCTTGTAGCCAAGTTCCATTTTTGTTAATGTTTTTGACCATGTGGTTTATATGTCATTGATCCAAAAATATAAGGGTAAGTGGGTAACGATGCCTTAGATGTGTATGATATAAGATAGAGAAAATAAATTACTTGATGAAAAGCGTAAAGGTGGAAGATATGTAGGCTGAAGAAGGTCATTGACAAAGATGAATATATGATCCTGTAAAGTTTGTACCTTTTTGTCAGACATTGTGAATTAAACACTCAAAAAATTTAGTCTCAGTAGCGTAGATATGCGCAATGATGAAGTTGGGAACTTCGTTTATGTCTTTTTTGACATAATTCTTATTTTCTGATGATGATAGGTTTGAAATGGAGAGAATATAAAATCTGGAAAGGAATTTAATTCACTGAATAAATTCGGTTTGAGTTTGGAAAGAAAAGGTTTGACTTCTAATAAATTTTATTAAAGAAAGGTTTGGGATCATTTACTTTTGCTATTATATCATTAAATTGGTTCACAAAGTCAGGAAAACATTTGAGGTGCATAATAGTCATGTTTCAAACAATGTGGAGTATTTTTTTGCACAATAGTGTACTAGATGCATGGTCAATTCATAGTGGTGTTTGTTGTATTTCTAGAGAATGTTGCACCCACCATCAGTAACTTGTAATGCATGCTCAAAATTGTGGTGCACTAGCAATCTCAAACAATGATATAAACATTTTAATATGCGTCAACCTTTTAATTTCTTGCAATCATCCTTTTGAAACCAGTCGAAAGAGACTCCCAAAGAGAACATAAATGAATTTCTTTTTGAGAAAAGTAGAAAAAAAATCAAGATAGTCTAATTGGGAGGTACAAGAACTATTTCCAATACATTTATAGTCAGTTGTTGTTTGTTGAGAAGAGGAAAATGTTAAAATCATTTTTGTTAGGATTTTGCTAACTGCCCTTTTACCATTTTCCTCTTTTCAACAAAATATGATTGGTTATAAATGTACTAGAAATAGATCTTAAACCTCC